TTTTATAAAAGTCTATAAATTGTAATAAAATTTCTTAGTGAGTTGTACACAAACCGTTTCACCCGGGTAAAACCCCAAACGCTAGGTCCAACGGCGTTTTATTATCAGAGAAAGGTGATGCATTGTGCGACAGGCCCGTCTTGGCTCCTTTACGTTCCGGTAGGCGATTTGTGAACAACATTAGTCAAACAACACACACGTAGGAATTGGAACCTAACATGCAATTTTGTCTTATATTTCAGTATTTTTATTTCTGAGGGCTCTGAAAATAATATTTTCCTGGAAACTTTCCGAGGATATTCAACACTATAGAAGTTGCGATGGATTTCCTTTGATTACCAAACTGTCAATAACGGTGGAGTGATGAATGTTATCTGTTATTACCCCGTTTGTAGGAAATATATCTTAACGGGCTCTTCAATTCCATGTTAAATACAACCATCAGCAACCTCGTAAGATTACGGTTCGAACATTAATAGGATGGGATACGGAAGGAAACGACTTTAATCAGCGTTCTTGTAAAAGTGTTGATCGAGTTCAGAACCCTATCATATTTACGCTCGTTCAATCCGCAATGTTACGGGAATTATTTTGGTTGAATCGAAAATGAAACCAAAGAGCTTTAAGGAATATTCCACAAAAACGTGGTAATAAGGTGCGTCATCCGTATGCAGATCAGGAGAGAGTGAAGTGAATTACGTGAAAACGGGGGAGGGGGGGGGGATTGTGGCAGCTACCTCAAAACTTCATTATTTACTTGTAAAATAACAATTGTACGGAGGAATGTGATATTAGTAGTGCTAGTAAGTAGTAGTATTAGAAGTAGAAGTAGTAGTAGTATTAGTTGTAGTAGTAGTAGTAGTAGTAGTAGTAGTAGTAATACTAGTAGAGTTACAAATGAATGCGGTAATCCATTGATACTTCTCACTGATACTTCTCATCATTAATACCCCCCCCCCCCCCGATTCCAATTCCCTAATAGAAAATAACACTGTTAAAAATAATTACAACAGTAAATACCTAGAGAATCGACTGGTAATTTTGAAAACAGTGTAATCCTGTAGTTTGCTCTGGACCTTATTCTGGAGGAAATTTCTTTTGAACCAATGCCAAGTCTATATCCCTCAAATACAAGTCAAACAGATTTTGACAGAAGTATGGAAGTACAGGACGATTTGTATGAATTCTGTTTCTGAGTACACAATTTTGAACAGTGAAGGGTCCACTTCTGTCCCGAGTATGTTCCAGAGTTGTCCCGATTCTGTGAGGGACTAAAACGGGATTTCGCATGTACTGAAATCCCCCCTTGTTCCGTTTAGGTGAAATCCCTCCAAAGTTCCTTTCAAACTGTGAAAAAGGATCCGGGCGAAAACGGGCGAGCTCATGCCCCGTGCGGGCACAGCCCGTGCACATGCCGGGTGCTCCGCGGGTGAATCCGGACTTTTTGTCGTTTCATAACACTTTCTTACTTTTCAAAACACGAATTATTTCCATAAAACATTTTTTCTTAAATTTAAGAGCAAACTTGTTTTGATAATTGCTTCACAACTCATTTTCTTGAAATTAAGATGATTTTTTTTAAATCTGTAGGTTATTGTTTACACCATGGTTAAATTAGATTTAGAAATAATTAGCTATGCACTTCAGTTATCTGTCTTAGTCTCATAGCTGTTGCTTGGTTTATTACAAGAAGTTAACTCGTATCTCAACGTTGATTCAATTTACGCTGTGATATTTGTTTGAATTTTGTACGAAGTGCTGCAGAGTGCAGTCATATATTAAACTGGTCGACTAGGTAGGCAAGTTGCGTATTTATAATTTTGTTATTTACTATAAATGCGAAAGTTGTATGAAGTTGATATTCTGTTGTTTCAGTTCCAGAAGCTGACCAACCCCTCCCGAAGAAATGGGGGCTGGAATGGCGGATAAATGCAGCACAAGATGTCACAGTTGAATTTATTTTATTTTCGCAAAACAATATGTTTTTGATAAAATATTGCCAAGTTTATTGTTTTTTAATAAATTTCACCCAAATCACTCTGAGCACTTATATTCTGAAATTTACCTCTCCTGGAGTTTACCCTCCTCATTCTTAGAATATTTCAGGGATTAAAATGCAGAATATTGCTGTAATTTACCTTCCTTCCCTAAAATTTTAGAAACTTGGAGTTACCCCTCTTACAGCTAACCCCCGTTCACTTATTTAGATGTTGTTAGTATTCCACATTATTTGCTGGGGTTCATGAAATCAATTTTGTTAGTTTTGAACACACGCTTCGATTCTACTATGAGAAATCGTGCGGTCAAAATTGTGGTTTGTGTTAAATTTCACAGTAAAGCCTACTGCTCTGACCTGAATGTGCACAAACCCCAGAGATGCTCCAGCTTTCCGCGTACTCCCCGGCCTATCCTCGTCGTGTCTTGACAAGACACAGAAGGAGACGTGAATGACCACGAGAGAACATTCGCTGTGTCGATCCGGGCCCGCCGGCTCCGCCACGCAACGCACTCTAA